GGGGCCGCGGGGGCGCGCGGCGCAAGTGGGTGGAGTGCGTGTGCCTGCCGGGCTGGCACGGGCCGAGCTGCGGCGTGCCCACCGTGGTCCAGCACTCCAACCTGCCCACCAAGGAGCGCCTGGTGCCCCGGGAGGTGCCGCGCCGCGTCATCAACGCCATCAACGTCAACCACGAGTTCGACCTGCTGGACGTGCGCTTCCACGAGCTGGGCGACGTGGTGGACGCCTTCGTGGTGTGCGAGTCCAACTTCACGGCCTACGGCGAGCCGCGGCCGCTCAAGTTCCGCGAGATGCTGACCAACGGCACCTTCGAGTACATCCGGCACAAGGTGCTCTACGTCTTCCTGGACCACTTCCCGCCGGGCGGGCGGCAGGACGGCTGGATCGCCGACGACTACCTGCGCACCTTCCTGACGCAGGACGGCGTGTCGCGGCTGCGCAACCTGCGGCCCGACGACGTCTTCATCATCGACGACGCCGACGAGATCCCCGCGCGCGACGGCGTGCTCTTCCTCAAGCTCTACGACGGCTGGACCGAGCCCTTCGCCTTCCACATGCGCAAGTCGCTCTACGGCTTCTTCTGGAAGCAGCCGGGCACCCTGGAGGTGGTGTCGGGCTGCACGGTGGACATGCTGCAGACGGTGTACGGGCTGGACGGCATCCGCCTGCGGCGCCGCCAGTACTACACGATGCCCAACTTCCGCCAGTACGAGAACCGCACCGGCCACATCCTCGTGCAGTGGTCCCTGGGCAGCCCCCTGCACTTCGCCGGCTGGCACTGCTCCTGGTGCTTCACCCCCGAGGGCATCTACTTCAAGCTCGTGTCGGCCCAGAACGGCGACTTCCCGCGCTGGGGGGACTACGAGGACAAGCGGGACCTCAACTACATCCGCAGCCTGATCCGCACCGGGGGCTGGTTTGACGGCACGCGGCAGGAGTACCCCCCAGCCGACCCCAGCGAGCACATGTACGCCCCCAAGTACCTGCTCAAGAACTACCACCAGTTCCGCTACCTGCTGGACAACCCCTACCAGGAGCCCAAGGGTGTGGGGGAGGGTGGGCAGCGGCACAAGGGTCCCGAGGGAAGGCCGCCTGCCAGGGGCAAATTGGACACGGTTGAAGGCTAAGGCTGCATGATCTTACAGGGCCGGTGGCAGGGAGGGGGCGGCCCCTCCTATTATCTACCTGCCTCCCTCTGCCATCTGGCTGGTTCCTGAGAGGACCAGGAGTGGGTGGTGGGGGAGTCCTCCTTACCTAGCTCTTTGTGAATCGGGGTCAAGCCTCTGAGCTCACAAAACATCCTTCCTGTCAGGAGAGGGGAGTGTGGCCCGGGGTGCTGTGACAGGAGGTGCCCGTGGAGAGTGCATGATGGTTACTGGGTAGCAGGGGAGGGCGGGCAGGGTGGGGAAGGGAGCCTGTGGGAACTCCCCAGGGCAGCCATGTGGGAGCTGCGGCCCCCACTGGGGAGAAGCCCACTGTTTGGTCTCCTGGGGCTTCGGTTCTGCAGTGGGAAAGGGGGAAGCCAGGAAGTCCTGGGGCTCTGTAAATAGATGCATTGGGGTCCAGGAGGAAGAGGGGACACCAAGGTGGGAGAGGATGGACAATGGCATTGAGCTGGGAGGAAGCGCTGCTGGATGCTCTGCAGGGTCCTCAGGAGTGCAGAGGGAGCTGAGAACCCCACCCCCCTGCCCCACAGGACACCTGTGCTCCCCGGCACCTGCTGAGCTGATAGGTGTGGGGCCTGGGGAAGCCTGGGAGTCTTCCTTTGGGTTCCAGGCCTGGCCTTGACGTCCTCCTCCCTTTTGACGTTGCTGTCTTGTGGGCTGCCCACGCAGCCCTTGCAAGGCCGGGAGGCCAGGTCCCGGGTGGGATGGGAGCCGGAGGCTGGGCTGCCGGCCAGCCCCGTAGGTCGGACCTGGGGCTGGGGGTGCGAGGAACGGGGAAAAGAGGAGGCTCTCTACCGTCTCAGGCGGAGTCACCCTCGTGCCTCTCCTTGGGGCTGGCTAGGGACCAGAAAGGGGCCATGAGGCTGGCCCAGGAGGGTCATTAAGGCCAGTTGTATGTCATGTCATTCCTCTTAGTTTGCCTCATGGGGCGGGGGATGTATTCATTAGAGTAGATCCTAAGCTGCTGTAATCAGGAGACCCCGAAACACAGTGGTTTAAGCAAGACAGAAGCTTGTTTCTAACAACTGTCTAGAGGGAGACAGTCCCGGGCTCGCAGGGCCCTCTGCTTCCCTTCACACACACTGTCCAATTCTGGATAGAAGGGCTGCTCCAGCTCCCACCATCACATGTGCATCCAAGCCTGGGGGAGGCAGAGAAAGGCAAGGGAAGCACATACCCTTTCCTGTTATGGGCATGAGCCGGAGATGGCACTGTCGCTTCTGATCGCATCTCACTGGCCGGGACTTAGTCACGTGGCCACAAGTAGCTGCAAGGGAAGCTGGGAAAGGTAGTCTTCAGCTGGGCGGCCAGGCGCCCAGCCTCAGCGTGGGAGTTCTCTTATTAAAGGGAGGAGGAGAGAAGGATGGGGGACGGGGCATCTCGGGCACAGGGGGAGGGGAGAGGGGTCGGAATGACTGTTGAAGTCACAGGATCCTGCTGTCCTTCAGAGCTCCCGGAACACCCTGCTCCTGTGCCTGCACTGCCAGCCCGGAGCTGAGTGCAAGGAGAGCCTGCAGGCATGGGAAGGAGAGACACCCCCTCCCCAAGGCCCTCTCGGACGTTTACTGGAGATGCCCGGATGCAGAGCTGCCTGTGGGACTGTACGTGTCTGTGCGTGTGTGTGTATTTATGGGCATGGGTGCATGCTTGGTGTGGACTTGTTGTGTGTCTGTGTCGGTGTGTCCCTGTACATAGATGCTCGTGCGTGGATGTGGGAGCAGGCCCTGGCCCCCCTTCCTCAGGACCTGGAGTTTGTGGCCACACCTCCTGTGGCTTCCCAAAATGACTGAGGCAGAAAGCCCGTGGGGAGCCTGGAAGGCAAGGCTAAAGCGGATGCGGGGTCTATTTGTCTGTCTGTCTTTCAGTCCAAGGAATACTGAGAGCTCACTACCTCCCCAGCCCTTCTTGGTCCCAGCCACATCCTTCCACCCTACCCCCCCCCCAGCCTCCAGCTGGGACTTTCCCTGGGTGTCTTATTGGGGTTTCCTGATGGGCTAGGAGAGGAGGGTGTCTCCTTTGCCATGGTTCTGCCTGGGGAAGTGCCTGGTGCAGGCGTGGTCTGGGGAGCTCGCTGCGGAGCAGCCTCTGGTGGGCAGGCATGAAGCAGGCTGAGGGGGCTCTATTGCCTCCACTCTCTCTCATGGGACCCCCTCCCTTGGAGTTACAGCAGCCCCCCTCTCTGGTCCCTCTTGGTGCTGAGAAGTGGCTCGAGAGGTCACGGTGTCCCTGTGGCTCTGGGTCAGCCCATCCAAGGCCTGCTCTTCCCAGCCACGTCTGCTCACCCTCTGGATGGGCAGTCTCTGGGGACTCCTGAATCATGCCTGAATCCCAGCTGGAGCCTTCCTCCTTGATGGCTTCCTCACCCCATGCCCCTGGCACCCTCAGCTGCGGGGGGATGCCCCCTTCCCAGGCTGCCAGGGGTCCCTGGCCTCCGTTTCACCAGCTGGGGGACAGAGGAAGGAAGAGGGAGGAGCCCAGACCTGCCAGGCCCCGCCTACCCCCTCAGACCAGGGGCACATTCATGGCCACCGCCAAGTGGAGGCCTGGCCGTGGTGTGGAGGGGACAGCTGTCTGAGGGGTGGGGGGCCAGGGCAGGGGCTGAAGAGTTTCACAATGATCACATCATACACTGGGAATTTCGGGGGACAGGGGAGCCTTGGGCTGCTCTCCAATATGAAGGTGAACCACACAATGTGAACGTTGGCGCACCGCCGGCCCCGTTGCCATATCCAGATTTCCTTCCCTGGGAACCACTGGCCCTGTGGCTTCTAGGCTCAAGGAGGCCCCCACCCATGGGTCACGCTGGTTCCTGGGACAGGCGCTGGGAGAGCTTGGGGGAACAACGGTGACAGTCGGGGTGGGGAGACAGGACTTGCCCAAGCAGAATGCAGGGCCCTGGGAAATGTATAATTTAAGGTCACCAATAATAATAATAGTATTATTTTTTTTGTAAGGGAAAATCAATATGTACATTCTGAAATCATTTTCTCTGTAAATGGTTGGATTTCATTTCACCCTTAAAGGGATGCTTAAAGGAGATAATGTTAATAATAAAAACAGCTACAAAGTCTGAAGGATGTGCATGTGTGGCTGGTTTGGGGGTGCTCTGGGGCAGGGAGGGGTGCAGTGGGTGGCTCTGGTCTTGCTAAAGACGCCCTCACTGCAGACTGTGGGGTCAGTAGGGTGCAAGCCTTCCCAAGGACTGGACAGCCAGTGGGAAGGGGACGTGCGGACCACCTTCACTGAGAGATGCAGTTACCCACCACCACCACCAGGGGGCATCCTTCCCTCCCAGAGGTGGAAGCAGGCTGGGAGAGGGAAGGTGCTGGACAGAGGTCCCCAGAAGGAGGGAGAAGCAGGCCTGGGGCTGGCGACACCCACCTCCCGAGGTGGGCAGGGACACCTTTGGGGGTCTAGATGAAGATTTTGGTGCCTCTACAGGGAGGAAAGTGATTCTCCCATAGTTGTGCTCTCTGGGCATCGAGACGCTGTCAGGGGTCCTAAGATCACACTGCCACTTGGTGGCAGAACAGGCCAGACCTGGATTCCCAGCGCTGGTCCTGTCGCCAGCCCTCTGGGGAGGTGAGGACGGCAGGCTCCGGGATCAATCATCTCCCCCATGGAGCCAACCTTGGACTTGTGCTGGGTTGGTGCCTGGGCCCGTGGAATGGGGGGGCATTGTCCTTGGGAGGGGGCCCTCTGGGTATTTTCTAAGCAGAACCTCAGAGATGGTGGAGCAGACACGCTTGGAACCCTGCCTTGGTCCGCGGTGGGGTGGCTGTGCGGCCTCCGTGTTAGATGGGGAGACTGAGGCTGGAGACGGGGAGGAGCGACAGCAGCATTGGTGGCCGGAGCAGGGCTAATGTCTCCTGAGCACCCACAAGGTTCCAAGCACTTTACCTGCGTAACTGTCTCCTGGACTCCAGCCAGGCTCCCAGAGCCCAGGAAGGCGCCTGCCCCTGCAGGTGCAGGACTGAGTAGAGGAGAGGCAGATGCCCCACCCAGACACAAGAGGGCGATGGTGACCCACTTGCCATTTCTGATGAGGGTTACAACCCTTCCATCATGTCCAGGGTGAATCATCACCATCTTAAACGTTTACAGACATTATTTAAGTGCTTATTTTGTGCTAAACTCTGGGCTAAAAGATTTCTCTCCCCACCATTCCCATTTTACAGATGTGGAAAGTGAGGCTTGGACACGTTCAATAAGGCCGTGAGTGGCAGAGTCAGTTTGCCTCACACCAGATGCTGAGCTCTTAACTGGCCCCCTGCAGGCCCTTCATCAGCATCCACGGGGAGGCGGAGAAAGATGGAGGAAGGGGGGGGGGAGAGGCTAGTGGTGATGCCCGGGCTTATGTTCAAACACCATCCAAGCTCCTAGCCCAGCCAGGCACGGTCAGCGGCCACAGAGAGGACGTCCCTGTTCTCAGGAGGACCGCAGTCAGTGGGGGACACAGACAGGTAAGCACAACCTCCAGACGGGAGGTGAGGGCTGGGACGTGTCATGAGCTGAGAAGCTCCACTAGGAGGGGAGAGACAGGGCAGTAGTGGAGACCGTGGTCCTCATCAATCATTAAACCCCCCGAGGGCCACTTCCCAGGTTGGGGCTTGAGCTGTGGGCAGTCAAAACTCCGAAATCCTGAAGGCCCATCACCCCGGAGCCACCGGAAGTCCCCACCATGCACCACAAATCATGGGACCTCCACCAATCTCTGGTTAAAGCTCAAAGGGGTGAAAGGTCTTGCCCAGGGCCAGCCCTCTGGCCAGAGTCCTTGGCACCTCACCTGCCATTCTAGTGAATTCCCAGAGACTCAGTTATACCAGGAAACTAATTCTTTGAAATTAAAATATTTTTTGTTTTATTTTTCAGTATACTCTATCAAGTATTTATTGCTGCAACCAAACCACCTTGAAATTTAGTAGATTAAACAACGATTTATTTGCTCACAGTTCTACAGTCTGGGCTGGGCTCCGCTGAACGGTTCTCCTGCCCCACAGCGGGTGGGCAGCTGCTGCAGGGATGTGCCCCTGCTCGGACCTGACCTGGGTGGTTGGTGACCAAGGAAGGGATAATGCACAAAAGAATGAGTCGATTGCACACCAGATAAGAGGGAGTGACATCACCACAGACAGGAACCCCGAGCTCACGGACCCACAGGCTCTGAGAGGGACTCCACATCACCCAGGAGGTCTGCTGCCGGAAAGGCATTGCCTGAATCTAATCCCAAGGAAGCATCATACAAACCCAGATTGAGGGACAACCTGCAAAAAAACTGGCCTCTCCTAGGCCCCCCTAATTTCCTGCAACCCTATTCTTCTGCACATTTACAGGAAAAGCCCAACCCTGCGTCAGTATCACAGACCACCTTTCGAGCACCTATCCTAGACTGCTGAAAGCTCCTAGAGTAAACATCAACAGTGACACAAATCATTGCCACTGCGGCCTGGATGTGTGACCTAGTTGTCCCCCTCATCTCAGCTGCCCACCACGTGTGTGAGCCCAGCCAAGACCAGAACAAGTTCCCAGTCAAGTGCAGCCTAAGCTTCCATCCTGTCTCACAAGCTCGACTGCTTCAGCCACTGAGCTACGGGGGGCTTTGTTACCGGCCTAAGTGTGGCACTAGATAACTGATACAGTTTGCTTTCAGTTAATGACAAAAAAGCCAACCCAAACTAGTAAAGCAGAGAAAGAATTTATTGGCTTGCTAATGGTGAAGTTCAGATGTGATGTTGGCTTCAGGTACAGCTTGAGGCAGAGCTCATGGTCACACTGTCATCAGGCTCTCCCTGGCTCAGCTCGGCTCCACTTCCCAACTTGTGTTGTCCCCATTCTCAGACAGGCTTAACCCTCATGCCTGCAAGATGGCTGCAGCAGCTCCAGGCCTCACATCAACTCATCCTAGGTACTCAGCACAGAAGAAACAGAGCTCCTCTCCCTAAAAGTCCTGGGCCCAGATCTCAATGATTTGGATGAGGTCATGTGATTATCCCTGAACAAATCAGTGAGATTAGCGGGATGATGGGTGAAATATGCAGATTAGCTTAGATCAACCAGAGCCCATTCTATATGGCTAAAAAGGAGGAAGGATGCCCAAAAGAAATTGGGGCACAGAGGTCACAACTGGCACAACCTCAGCTGCCTCCGTCAGGCCTTTCACCAGCCCTTGGTCAACTCCCTCTCCTGGACCCTCATCTGTGGAATGAGGATCTTCATAGGACAGACCTCTTGAGTGGTGGTGAGGATGATGCTCAGAACTTGGGACCGAGCCTGGAGCGTTGTGAGAGCTTCCTGAGGGTGAGTTGTCATCCTCATGACGTGTGCTCACCCTC